AAAATATTTAAAATTTAAAATTTTTTAAATATTTAAATATTTAAAATTTAAAATTTTTGTAAATATTTACAAAAATATTTACAAATATAGTAAGTTTATTACAATATATTGTAATAAACTTACAAACAGTGCTTTGTTGTATGTTCCCAACCATCAAATAAAAATAAACAACAAGGTAATCTATGAAAGGTTTCAGGACAAATATATAGTGTGTGAACTATCCCAGTACTGCAAGATGATCGAGTATATGAAAGCTACTATTCACATAGTTTTTATTCATTTCTAAAATTTCTCTGTTAATAAGTATATATTTGTGCATGTATCTATATTTATACACAAGAATAACTTTGTTCAGAATAACTAGGTAAATGCTTTAATGTATTTATTTAATGTAAGTGCTTACATCCAAGATAAACTGAACTCTTCAGACTATAGAAATAATTCTAAATATGACATCATAGATGGTACAAATCAGAATTTAAAAGAATATAAGATTTAAAAAAATGTAGGAACTAATAACTACAAAGGAAAAAAACATGTACTGACTTAAAAAATTTTTACAGTTAAGTATTGGCTGCAAGAATTTAATGAAATACTTTGCTTTTGATTCCTTTATGTCACTATTTGAAAACATTTTGTAGAATGGAAAATTAAAAGTTGTTCACTGCAACAAGTGCCCTAATGTTCCTGCATTGACATTGCGTATTACTGGATACAAAATTTTGTTTTCATGAATTTGCAATTTCACCAATGTATTTTTTGTGCCAGTGAAACATATGTATGTAAACAATAGTGTACTAACCTATGGATTTAAAAATAAGACCAACTGTAGTGGGGCCAAAATCAATAACACATCCTTTAAGCAACCTTACTGGCATCCTTTTTGCCAAAAGTTACCTAACTTTATCAGACATGGCATTGATTTTCTTAATCAAGTTCCAAGAGAACTGAAAGAAACAACTCTAATGATGAGCTTTGATATAATTAGTTTCTATATTAATATTTTACTGGACTTGGATTAAAGGCTATTTCTTTTTTGGATTAGAAAAACTGAGTGTTATTACATGTAATAGTCACAAAGATTTTATATCACAAGGATTAGCCCTTATACTACAAAATAATTTTTTGTTTTAACATTTCTCTCATGGGCCAGTGGGGGACATTTTTGTTGTAAAAAAAAGAAGGCATTTCCTGCATCTTTTAGCATTGGAGCTACGAAAAGTGATTTGGAGTGGTAAGATGACTGAAATCCGTCAACGCATCACAAGCTCAATGGCCAAGCACAAGAAGCATGGAAGTCTCTTAATGACATGTAGAGGTATTCAGGAACCATTTACAATCACCTTGGTAGATATTGTGCAGCAAGCCGAGTACAATATTATGCCTGTAGTTCTTTTACAGTGTTCCTGTCTGCTCATCCTACTGCTGACTATCGTGATGCTTCGACCTTCCCTACCAAATTGAAGGTGAATTCCTTCTTATCTCAATTGAAAGCTAAACATAAAAAGGTAATAACAGAAGAATATCAGTGATGCTGAGAATGTGGCTTTATTGATATATATTGAATTTACTTCCAGCAGGTAGACCTTAGTAATAGCTAGTAAGGAGACTTGAGAATGCTGTATTTCACTTAAATATTTATCAATTAACAAACAAAAACTTGTCTCAAAGTTGTCTCAGTAAGATGCATCCAAAACCACTCTCTTTGTGAATTCCCAGATTGAACTTTTAATATTCAACAAATTGTAGTGTAAAGACTCCCTTTGGCTCCTGAGGAACATGTTAACAATACAACTTATTTTCAAATCAAGGGAATAGCATTAGAAAATGACTTTTCAGAATATGCTACTGTAAGACAAAACTGAAGGAGATATTTAGATGACTATTTGATATTTGGAATAACTCAATGGAAAATCTACTATTTTCTTAAGTGAATTAAATTGTGTACATAACTCCATAATATTTATAATGAAAATATATTACAGAAGACTACCATTACTTGATGTACTAATAAAAAAAATCTGTAAAAGATCTCTGCAAACATTTACTGTAAAAACATGCTATTCACTATTTTATCTTTCATTCTTGCTATCCATCACATACAAAAAGAAACATTCCATACAATTTTGCATGAACATTTTGTACAATTGTGTGTGGTGGTGAGACCAAATAAGAAAAACAAGAAGACCCCAAAGGATTTGTAATATACAGCACTCTTGTAAAACTTAATTAAAACTGGTGTTACTAAAGCCAAAAACTTCCATGATCAGAATTATGAAAATCAACAGAGAAAGGTAAAGAAAGTAAACAAAGGAAGATAACAGTTATTACAGCACATGATCCAAATAATTTTAATATATTCAATATAATCTGCACAAATATTAGAATATTAAAATAGTCAAAATCTGATGTATGTTTAATGGAAGAATACATAGCACTCAATTGAAGGCATTAAGAGAATGTAAAAACCTTCAAACTACTGTACATGCTTCTTCTTGGAATAGTTAGCTAGTGCCTTGACATTGCTTCCAAAACAGTTTTGTCCTCTTGCATCAGGCTGTTGAAAGAACTCTCACCCGTGTAGGTAATAATATTTACTACCCTAGTCTATGTTGCTGAACAATGTCAGACCATACCCTTCCACCAATAGGAGGGTGATACAACCTCCTTGATCAGAACTTCCCTTGAATACCTTGTGTGAATAAAAACTCATTCCTTTCATTAGCAATACACTGTTTAGAGATGTTATTATTAACCCTTTTTTCACTATGCTTAGATTTTATATTACAGTTTTCAGTGGGAAATTTTTACTAAAAATAGTCTTTCTTGAATTACTTTTGCTTCTTGAAAATATTATAAGAATATATATGATAATATAATTACTTCAATTTCATGTACCTTCTTGAATATGATTTCACATAACAGTGTTTTTGGAGTTTCCCAAGGTCCAGACACATTTCAGTAGGAGTCATTTTCTTTTAATTCATTTGTAAGTGGAGGTATTTTAGCAGTGAGTGATGTTACTACCATTGTACATGAAGTGGTTGATTCTGTTCTACATTTCTCATCTCGGACTCATTAATTGAAGATTCCTGCTTCTGTACCTTCCGAGTCTGCCATGTATTGAGATAAGTTTTACAAGTTCTACTAGCCCAGAGATAAATAATACAACTTCTTTTCTTTGCTGAACTGATACCTCAAATATGTGATATCCTTTCTTTTTACTCCAGTTACTTCTACTGGTTTATGGGGGAGCTTAATGCTATTATCCACTTTTACTTCTTCCCAGGGTAATGTTTCTAATTTGCAGCATGTCCCCCTTTTCCCAATGGGTCAGTGGTAAATCTTAGGACTTATAATACTGAAAATTGGTTTTCAATACAGTGGGCACAGCACAGCCCATTGTGTAGTTTTGTGGTTAACTCTTGACATCAAGTTTGAAAAATTATCTGTGGTCCATCTTCATATAAAATACTTTCAAAATATAAATATAACTGAAATGTTGACATTTTAATTTTTCTTTTTTATGTAAATTTTTTTACATTTGTTTTATATGAAGTAATTTAAAAAACATTGAAACTGCTAGCCCTAATTTTCTAATTTTGCCCACTGCTGTAATTAGTATTGAGATAAATCATTAAATTTTGCAACTGAACATAACTTATCAAATGGATGAAACTAAGCCACAAATCTTGTAACTTTGTCTCTCCATTCCTCTAGGTCGTCTTGATCCTTAGTCATCTCACCTTTCACCTTTTAGGTATCATTCATATAAGCACTTTTTTTTTCTCTCCATTCTCGTTTTTTTTTGTCTTCTGGTGTATTTGCTTCCTCAAGATTGAGTTTTTAGATTACATAAAATGCTCAAGGGAGTTTTGTCACCCTCATACTGGTTGGATGGTGTGTTTTAGCAACATAGTCTAGTGCAGTACATGAATGGGTGAGATTTCTTTCAGTGGCTTGACACATGTGAGACATAAGCTATTTGTTCTGTGGAGTGAAATCTATCTGAAATCATTTTCATATAGGGAAAGTGTTAACTTCACCATGTGAAAGGATTATGAGGAGAAAGGAAAATGTGGTGGTGAACATAGACTGTGAGAAACATAGTAACATGTGTAAGTACCAGGAAAGAAATTACCTTGAAATTAAGGAAGACCTTCAGAGTTAATGCCAACATAAACTGTAAACCTGAAAATCTAGTATTTTGTATGTGTAATTGCCATGAAAATTATATTCATAAAAACTAAATGAAACTATGTGAGAAAGTGTGAACTCATCGAAAACAAACATGAGATCCATCAGTACAATATATTTCATTCAGTGAACAACATGTAATTTTTCCATTTTACAAATGTTTTCAAATTGTGAAATAGAATGCAAACCAAAAGAAAAATATTTCATAAATTTCTTCTATCCAATATTTAATTGTTAAAAATGTTAAGTTTGTGTATGATTTTGTCTCTTTTAATTTCTGTTTATATATTAATTTTATTTGTTACTCCATCCTGACATATGTAGAAGTGAAGAGTCCACTTTGGACAAAAATACTGATATAAAGGATTAAAGCATTTGTCTAATTATTCTGAAATAAGTGATTCGTATATATATATTTCATCTGTACAATATTTATAAACTTTTCACAAATTTGTTACAAACAGTATTTTGAAAAGAGAGCTATTTTTACACATAAACACATAAACTTTCAGGTCACTGAAGATTTGCAGAGAGAGATTGCAGAAGAGGCAGAAGAAAAGGAATTTGGGAAACACAAGGAAGAATTTGATGAAGGGTCTGAATCAAAAGAAGGTGAGACTTTTGTAAGAGATGAAATATCTGAAAATGATAAGGAAAATAAAATCAATAATAAAAATGTAGAGGAAGGTAAAACTTATGAAGATAATAAAAATGACTTTGTCGAAGGAATGGTAGAAGCAGAAACAACACCGAAAGAGATTTATGCCAGTAAAGAAAGTGAGAGTGATGAACTATCAGAGGAAAAATAATCACGATACTGTGATTTTATTAAACCAGATCAGTTGGTATTGTAATTAAAAGTACCATTTCCAGGATCTTGGAGAAAATCATTAATGACCATGTAGACTCTTCTTTTATGTATTCTTAAAAACTATCTATTTTTTCGTAAATGTTTTGTTTTTATGTTTCATGTTGTCACATTATAACAATATTTACATGTTAAGAAAGTTTATATGGTTATATTGTTTGTTTCATGTTGGTGCACTATAACAATATTTACATGTTAAGAAAGTTTATATGGTTATATTGTTTGTTTCATATTGGTGCACTATAACAATATTTACATGTTAAGAAAGTTTATATGGTTATATTGTTTGTTTCATTTTGGTGCACTATAATAATATTTGCATGTTAAGAAAGCTTATATGGTTATATTTTATGTTTAAAGAAAGAGAAACAAATTACATCTGATGAGTTAAAAATTTGTATGTTACAGTGCAGTTTTCATGAACCTTTTGAAATTAAAAGTATTATATTTAATATTTTTAATAACTTTTATTGCATTGTCAGTTTTATTCTGTGTCACAGAAATTGTTTTTCAAGATTACTAAAAAAAATCAAAAACAATTGATATAAACGTTCATTTTATTGTAAACATTACCGTTATTAGTGTACATGTAAGGTTTTTACATTTTACTTTCAGCTATGATCAGAGAACAACGTTAATGTACCTGACTAAGGTACTACTTTTATGAAAAGTATAAAAAATAGTAGTATCTTGTATCTTTTTTATTCCTGTACTTGAACCATTTATTGTAACTGTAGATCTCAGTAGCGTTGAGTTTCAATTTCTCATTTAAATTTCTTTGTACATTTGTAATAGAAATCTGGCACTTCATGATAACATGGGTAAGGTTTCGCGGTTTAAAGAATAATAGGTTTGGGATATAAACTTTTAAGATAATCTAAAATTACCTCCTAATTATGAACTTAACAGAAACAACATTAAAATTTGTATATAAAATTTCACTTCTTGAGTTTCAAAAAAAACAAACAAAGGTTTTGGTTCGACTGGAAAGAAATCTGAAGCGATAGGATTATAATGAGACCTTATTTTTAAAATATCAAAACAGAATGTACAAAATTTAATGTATTTTGAACTTTCTAAGTAGTAACACGTGAATCAAGTAAAACTGATATGTTTATTAAGTATATCAGTTATGGTGCATATTATGTGTATGAGATTTTTAATAAATATTCCTCTTGAATGCCAGACACAAAATGCCCTAACATTTGTGTATGCAAAAACCACATCAATTAACTCCTTCACTGCGACTGGGACGTATATTTCCCAGTGTACTGGGAAACATATATCCCAGCCACAGTGAAAGGGTTAAAGTTTTAGTTAAGACAGGTTTATACAGTTATATATTTGGCGTTGTTACTGTTCAGTGGACAAAACATGTTATGTTTTGCGGATAATGAAATACGTGTAACTTTCAAATGAAAGTATGCTTTGGAAGTCAGATTATATCTACATCAGATCATGTTGTAATGCATTAAAATATGAATCATTTGATCCAATATTAGATGTACATGCTAAAGTAAAGACAAAAGCTATTTAGATCAGTGTTGTTTATATACATATATTCTTTGTTAATTTTTACTGTAAATTTGAGTAATGTACAATGACTTAAAGGTCTTTAAAGTCATTGAATAAGACTGTAACATAATGGGTAGAGTATTTTCAAGAGGACCACAAGTCCATGTGAAAATTCTTCTCAATATTCATCTCTTTTAAAAGTACCCGAACTTCCTTTTATCAAGAGCTTATGAATTTTTTAAAACTTGTAGTTAAGACTTAAACTATACACAAAAAAATTTAATTTTTTATTACAGTATTTTGGTAATGGTATCATACATCTATATTCAACACTTATATTGAGTATTATTAACATTGTTGGGAACTTTCAGGTTGATTTGATTTGATTTCCATATATGTTTCCTTAAAGAACCAAAATATAAGAGTAAGAACACACATTTTATATTTTAATTTAAAACTATGTCAGAAGTTTGTCTAGTGTTTTATCTTCATAAAAAGAATAACATAATTTTAATGACATTAAGAAATTATTCCTCTTTTAAGATCACTAATTTCAATTTTTCTCTCTCTACTACTCCAGCATGGTGAAATGGATTCCTTAAGTTGATTCCTGTTATTGCTTGTCCCTGAGAACCAAGTAAACATTGCATGGAAGTGCTCAGTGTGAAGCAGATTTAATCTGTGAATTTTTTCATATCACCAGTGTAATCAAACCCACTCAGTAAAACAGAATACAAGAGTGTATGACATTCACCAAGTGTTGTTTATCAACTGAAGGATCAGATTATTGCAGTATAGTAATTGCTTATATCTGTTTGATATTTTTATTACAGAAAGAAAGTCAAACATTTTTTCTTCTAGCATATCAATGAATGTTTACTGAGTGGATTTGTGCTAGTTTTAACTTTCTGATATTTTCTTGCTTTCTACTTACAATTATCATTATTCATGCTTACTAATTCAAGCATGACTGATAATTAATCGTAGAATTAGTGCTCTAACAATTTTTGTTAAAACCTTTAATTTAGGTATTTCATGCATTTGTCTTGAGCTTACACCTTAAGCAGTGATTTGAGCTGTCTTATAATCATTTTAACTATATTTTTTTGTATTAAAAGGATAAAGAAACAAATACATTTTAATGACATATGACATGAAAAGGGGATTTTAAAATTGTGATAAAAAATAAGTGTTTGATTTAGTGGTGTCAAACGAAACTTAACCATTTTGTGAAATATATACATTCTCATGGTGTACTTGAGCATAAAATCTCAAAAGTCAATAGATTATTATGTTTTGAGTAAAATGGTCAACTTTGTAGTCAGTTTGTTTCAAATTTCTCAAAATTTGAAGATAAACTAGCTTGACAAATTATATTAGCCTTAAACTAATTGATTTACATTTAAGTAAAAATTAATAAAGATTACAAATGAATATTCCAAATTCTTTACATTCAGTGATATTTCTAAACATCCTTAGTTTGGACAGAAAAAGCATTGGAAACATTAAGGATATATATACAGGTATAATTGAAAACAAAATGATAATATTTCATTATAATCAAGTCACATGTTGTTCATGGAAAATGTTGTATAATGAAATTTCAGGGATTTTGTTTTTCAACCTTAAATAAACCTAAAACATCTGTGCCTTTTCTTTGCCATCTTTACAACATTTTTATTTTGTTGTGAGAAAAAAGCATGGAAGTGTTTACATTTTGTAGCTATTATGTATTTTAAAACAACAGTTGTAGGCTTAATTCTTGTTAACAGAGTAGTACTCTTTCATAACAATGTTGTCAAGAAAGGAATGTCTGGTATACTTTAGGTATGTTAGAAGTATGTGTAGTATGTAAGTGTTGGTATACTTTAGGTATGATAGAAGTATGTGTAGTATGTTAGTGTTGGTATACTTTAGGTATGATAGAAGTATGTGTAGTATGTTAATGTTGGTATACTTTAGGTATGATAGAAGTATGTGTAGTATGTTAATGTTGGTATACTTTAGGTA